AACAAAAGAGCGGGCAACCCCACCCCTACCACGCTGTGGGCTCGGTGTCCGAGCGGTCTCATTTTTTTTCCTTTGTGCGCACGCGCAACGACCGCACGCAGTATAAGAAAAATGCTTAAGTGACGTCACCAGGACGTTTTTACCGACAAAAAACGTAATTATTTTAAGTTGTGCAGTGTAGTGACGAGAATTAGACCCAACAAAAGGTTGGTTGTAACAACTATTTTGTGCAAGTGCTCGTACATTTTTATTATAAGCGTTGTGACACGACGCGTAACTTTGACCCATTTTTAGCTCCAAGTTAACGCGCGATGTTAACCAGTAGCCATTTTTTTGCTCCGAGGTAATGCGAGATGTTACCCAGTAGCCATTCTTTTGCTCCGAGGTAATGCGAGATGTTACCCAGTAGCCATTTTTTATGATCAAACGAACTTACCAAGTGAAGTTCGATCTAAATTATCCTGTTTTCGCCGAAGAGATTTAAGGTCCCTCCCAACCCGAAGATTTCTATATCTTCTTCCCTGGAGGTAAACGTCAATGTCATCTCTTCTCTAAATATAATGAGACCGCTCGGACACCGAGCCCACAGCGTGGTAGGGGTGGGGTTGCCCGCTCTTTTGTTTTTTAATACTACTACGCTGAATATTGTGTGCGGATTGGGTTGTCGTACAGGGGTACTACATGGTAAAATAAATCTCTTCGGCGAAAACAGGATAATTTAGATCGAACTTCACTTGGTAAGTTCGTTTGATCATTCAATTATTGTGACCACTTCTAGGCAAATGTCTTCCCCAGATAGCTTCCCCTAAAACTAAGTAGAATTGCCCACTCAATGCCGGGAATACTGGGAACATCGACCGGGATTCTAATAACGAATATGGAAAATGAAAATTCAATGGGAAATTTTAGGGAAAATTAGTCAAAATGCTTAAGGAAATTCATTTTTTTTATCCACAACGAGGAATTTCTTGGCCTGTATCTCACCTGATGGTAAGTGACGATCAGGCCGAAGGTGGATGTGAGCTTCACCCGGAATCCTCAACCACGGAGGAACTGGCTATCTTACCTCTAACTGCCGGAACACAACAATGCTGTTAACATTGTTGTTATGGCGACAGACTTAGGTAAGATGGTGGTAGCTAGCCAGGCGGACTTAGAACAAGCCCTACCACCAACCAAACCGAACAGAAAAATCTGCCCCCTCTGGTAATCGAACCCAGGACCTCTGCGTCTGAAGCAGGTGGTCTTACCACTAGACCACAGAGGCGGTTAATACTCCAGAGAAATTCAGGGAAAAGCCTTTTATTTTTTTCATAGCCTTGAAACTGAAAAACAGTCGTGTCAGTAAGTGTCCATGATACTTTTCTATGTAAACCGACTGACAAATAAAGCGATGTTTGTGTAAAAATATGAATATTTAATAATAAAGTTCGAGACCGTCTTGTTAAATTACAATACAACACATTTATTTTTCGTTTACAAAATGACAAGTCTGAAAACATGTTTAGTTGATGAAATAGTATAAAAGTAACCCTTGGATTTTGTTTCTTACAATATTTTGTGTTTCGAAAAAATAATATTGCTTAATAGTTGAGTAAGTATTTCGTCAAATAAGTAGTAACTTCACTGTGCCTGTTTAATTTCCATTTTGTGACATAAATCCTAAAAAATGTTATGTAAATACAAAAAGAATCAAAATACCTATAGTCCACGGCAATAGAAACGGGCAATTTTGTAAAGTACTTTCATAAAATACACTTTTAATAAGTAGATCGAAAACGGATCAATCCTTGGGAGGCTTTTGTCCAGCAGTGGACGTGATATTTATTATTGCGAAATGAACGAACGAACGAAGTAGATTGATCAGGACTGGAACATTATCTTTAAAAGATGTTAAAGTATTTTGCAATAAAGATCAAATCCAATAGTTAGTTGCCAAAGTTGTTCTGCTTTATTTGTTTTCAGTGTTTGTACATAAATGTGAAAGTCACCAAAGTATACCTATTTTAGTCTCCTGATTCCTGAGGCAATGTACAACTTTTATGTTTACCTATGTAGAGTCCCTACGTTCCATTAGTTAATCCTGAATTGATTTTTTCAAAGAGTGAAATTATCATAATACAAACAAATGCTAGAGACACACAAACAAATGCTAGGGAAACTAACATAAACAATATTATAGTCCAAAAGGTTTCAGGCAAAAAGTTGCATATTTATCGACTCTACCAGAAGCCTAGAAAGGTAAAAACACAGTAAGAAGGTAAGAAACATCAATATTTCAGCTGATTGATTCTACGGATCCTACAGTTAAATAAAGTTGTTCATAATCCCGTAATAATTAAGGAATCTCGCTCGATAGACCGACGATCTTAGTGAAGGTTGCGGGAAGCGTCCGGATGCGGGCAGCGCGGGACCAGTTTTTGTGGAAATCCTTGGGGGAGGTTTTTGTCCAGCAGTGGACGTCTTTTGGCTGAAAATTAAGTAATGAAAAAAGTGTTTTAAAAACATAACCCTCCTTCTGGCGCAGTCGGGTAAAAATAGCCCTGTAATTATTGAATCAATAGTGTGGAAAACCTTGGGGGAGGCCTTTGTCCAGCAGTGAAAGCCTTTAGGCTGAAAAGGAAGTCATGAAATTTGGCAAGTGTTTAAAAATATAGCCCTGTAATTATTGAATCAAAAGTGTGGGCAGGCCTCCCACTAGGTGGACAGACGATCTGGTGAAGATCGCGGGAGGTGCCTGGATACGGGCGGTGCAGGACCGGTCTTTGTGGAAAACCTTGGGGGAGGCCTTTGTCCAGCAGTAGTCTTTAGGCTGAAAAATTCACGAATTCTTGTAATAATTATCATTATTGAATTCATTAGGACTATACATTATTTTAATTTGTATTGATTATGTTAAATCATCATTGTCGTGTAAGTCTCTACATGACAATGTCTAAATATTGTGTTGTATATGTATGTTAGCTTTTAATAAAGCTGTTTTGTTTTTCAAAATGTTTATTAATTTGACAAGTTACTACTCGTATGAGTATAAGTTTACCTACTGAAAAATAAAAATACAATCTAAGTAAGTATGTGGTTTCATGAACCTTAAAAAATTGTATTTATAAAACTTTTTGCTAACTACGAAGTTATAATGAATTAAAAGCATATTTTTAGGTTTCGTTAATTAAAATTGGATTATCTACAGAGATATAATTAGGTACTTAATAATATGTCATCATAATTATTTAAGTTTAGATGACGGTACATAATCTTGATTAACACTTTGAAACCATTTGCGATTGTGATAAGTGCGAAATTGTAACAAAAAACAGTCTTATGTGCGGTCGACTGTACACTTCGGCTTCCAAGCCTCTTCATTGAGAGAGATAAAATTATCACAAATTTACAACAAAGAACTATCTTTGCTCGTCCTATCAACGCTTAACTTATCAAAAGCTTAATATAATAAATACGTTTACAATCAGAACAAATATCGCTAGTACGAATAATAACAATAACTGTTACATTTACTATGACGTCAATTTGACAAGATGTTTTATGGAGGCCGTATATCATTGCTCTGATTGTATGAGCAACAACACGCTATATTTATTTTTGAACAATCTAAAATTCATGTGCGAATAAAAACTATGTATTATGCAATCGTAATCTGTGGTAAGCTTCCCGCGTAATTATTCGCATAGACAATGAGGGGCCCAGACGTCGCGAATGCGAATTTTAAAAATAAGTCGTTCGGATCGAACCGTCCGCGCCGTGCACGTTCCACATTCGAAATAATAATTGTATTAAGGAAACATGAGCGCGGCGCATGTGTTTGTTTGTTTGTTTACTCGCCGGTGACGTCATATGTTTATTCTCGCGGGGAGGTTGGGGCGAAATGGACACCAAACATTTTTCAACTATTTTTTTTAGTGAATAGTTCATAATTTGCAAGTACATAGTCATATTATGATTGTACATCATTTATAGCGTTTTCAATAGAAGAAAAAGAAACATGAACAATTAATTTTAAGGTTGAAAAATGCTGATTAGTTCAATCCTGAAGTTTGTTCGTTCGTTCGTTTCAGCCAAATGACGTCCACTGCTGGACCAAGGCCTCCCCCAAGGTTTTCCACAATGAACGGTCCTGCGCTGCCCGCATCCAGGCTCTTCCCGCGACCTTTACCAGATCGTCGGTCCACCTAGTAGAAGGCCTGCCCACGCCTGCCCAATCCTGAAGTAAAAATATCAAAATAATGAAAAAATCAGCGATTTGTAAATTATGATCTACAGGACCTAAAATTTTGGAAGTTTGCTATCAAAAGTCTCACTGTTGTATTGAATTATTGGGCCGGTGATATTATGTAACTTATTTCAGAAATTATGGTTAGGTATTACATAATTAAAACATTCAATAGGATGATTTTTTATCACATTATGTTGGTGTCAATTTAAAACTGTTATTATATTTATTTTTAAGCCACTAAATAATTAAACTATTTGAAACTTTCATTTTTTTACGAAAATCATGATCAGACTCAGATTTACAGTCTGTTTGACATTTTCAGATACGAAAAGTAATTTAAAAGCTAGTTTGCCTATTATATTGGGTATTTCTTCTAGATATAAAAATCAAGGATAAGCAGTATCTAAAACTTTTGTAATTAATCAGAAACTTGCTCAAAAGAACCCTCATATTATGTTGTTTTGTTGCTCATGTAAACATTTTCCCTCTAATTTCTGCAACGACAAGGAAATGCAGTGCAGAGATTATAGACTGGATTTTGGAGTATAGTTTTTGTCCAGCAGACCGATTACTCGCCGTTTACCGCGAACAGTTTTCAAGTTCAAGAACATAATTGGCGTGTGATTAACGAGACAGGAGACAGTGTTCCGCGCGAGCCCCGCCGCCTCTTGTTTACACACGCACACAGCCGCGGCACGCACACTGCGCCGCGCCCGTCGAGCCGCTTATTTAGGTATATTGTTGTTTATTTTATTCGGCGCTATGCTCCGACACGGGGCGAGCCTTTCGACTCAGTTTTAACGCGCGTTTTATGAAACGACAACTATGCGTCGATGTTCGCTCTCCGATAATAATTATTCATATCGGGACCGCTCCTAGCGACCGAAATAGCGCGTAAACAATTACAACTTTACATTTTTGCATCGTTTGTTGAGTTTATTTTTTTATTTATTTTTTTTGCGAGTGTCCCGGCCGGCGCGCCTTGTCTCCGCGAATCTTAATAGCGGTTAATCATAGTTTATTTTTACCGCGCAACGTGTGTTAATAATTGTGTTGGGGCCGCCTGTTTCTTTTATTTAGCTATCGTGTTTGATTGAATCGCAAATTGCGGAAGCGTTTTAGCAAAAAACACTAACGTGGACTGTGAAAACGAGATCGTTCAACAATTATACTTTCAAATGTGTGTATGGTAATACTTTTGACAGTTCTAAATTTAAACGGCACGTTTTTTGAGTTTTGAAATTTGAATTTGCGCTTTGGCGGGAACGGTGGGTGCTAACGAAGTAGGCTGCACAGAAAGTTTGGAAAAGTGTTGTGCACACATCGGATGCTGGCAAGTGTTTTTTCAACGCGTTTTCGAGGCTAAGCGCTAGTTGTTTGAACAAGTGTGTTTTCTAATGGATTTATTTTGAGGTGAGTTTAAATTTACTTGTGTGTTGGTGTTTGTATTGTTTGTTCAACGTGTTTTGTGTGCGTGTTCGCGCCGGTCGGTGGTGGCGGGAAACTGTGTACCTAGCCGGTTCTACTCGTGTGTGAGTGTACAAACAGAGCGCTGGTGTGCGTTAGCGACTTATTGTCACTTTGTAAGAGGGGAAACAAGGAGGGAGAGGTTACTTGTCATGTATTTAGGCGAAGACAAAACTTTGATGAGTTGACTTTTTAATTTATATGCTCCTTTTATGAGCGGAGGCCGAGAGACGTCACATATTTGCTCACGTACTTGGCCGTCGATATCTGTATTGATTTTTGACATCACGCCATCAAATATTTTATGTAAACGCGAAAAGTGATTAGCCTTTTCACGAATAAGGTGGCTCGTACTTTCCAATTACGATTGGGCTAACTGTATTCTAAAATTTTGTGTAAATGTACAGCTTTTTACAGACTGTATTAAGTATTTGATAAAGTTGCGTACAAATAATGAGACGGATTTTTGTAATAGCTTATTAGCAACTCGATAGTATGTCCTTAAACCTACCTCTATTCTACCTCCACAATTTATCATGTAAAAGTTTATTTTTAATTTTAACTATACATTAACCCATTATAGACTGAGTTTTCTTAAAGTGTCAGATTTTTGTTTTTTTGAAATGTGTTCATAATTATGGTCTACATAATGCTATACAAGCATTAAAAAAATTATTCGACCTGTAATCTGGAAAAAAAATGCTGGTACCATATGGTACCGCTAGCCTCTTACCGTGTCAGTTGGTTAAAACATAACTTTATCATGGACTTTATAAAATTGGGTAAATTATATATTCTATTATTATTATAATATGTATTAATATACAAGCAAATAACAGGAGTGATATTAAATGTAAAAAAGCTGTATATTGGGTCAGCAATATTCATTTTTATCTTTGAATATTCAAAAATTTGGAATGGAGCTTGGCATTGCACGCTGCACATAGCCCCACGTTACATTTTCTATACTCTGATATTGTTCGAGAGTTGCAATTATCTTGAGTTTATTCTATAAATTTCTGCTTTTACAGAAATTTTTTTTCTCGTCTTGGGACCTTCATCGTCCTCCAAAACTGCCAATGTTTGTGAAAGTTACATCTAAAATAAATAAAATCCCATGGTTTTGTAAAGTATAGGAAACTATTTTACTTTATCTTCCTATATACCATATATACCATTGAATATATCACATACTTCCCAATAAATACAGTAAAAACTAAAAATCATAAAATAATTAAAAAGACATGGTAAGCGGCTAGCGGTACCGTACGGTACCAGTAATTTTGACATACAATATTTCCCATTATTATTACCTATCGACGTAATTTTACACCATTTCACAATAAAAGCACTTATGGAGAATACAAGATTGTAACAAAATCAGTATTTCACTATCACACAAAAAAAATATGATCACTTACTTTTATGGCGCGTCAATTTTTAAGAGAAAATTTTGATGCGCTCACTTCAATCATCAATTACACACAACTGATAAGAATAACTGTCAATTTTTTTTCCTATAAGCATAGACCATATCTATTGGCTACGATTTGCATCAATCAGAGCACTGCATCTTTTCACGTGTTAATGTATAGAGCCAAATTAAAACACACAAAAAAGTGGTACCATATGGGACCGCTAGTCTATAATGGGTTTATGCTCAATAATACTCAATATCATTTTTTTCTAATACCTAGATTATCCATATCATGCTAAAACAGATTATCACTATAAAAAGGGAATTTCCCTTTTACATCACTTCTAAGTAATGGTGAGGTAATCTTTTAACCCATTTTTGAGACAAAATTGCTTTTTTAACTCAATTAAGTACTGTTTTCGCAACATTTCCTGGTAACGTATTTTTATTCCAAAATTTTAATTTAATTGTATATGTAAATATTAATGACATTAGGTTAAAGTAACTTAGTAGTAATCGACCAAAATAAAAAATAAACCGCCAAAAAATACACTGAAACAAAACATTTTGCTTAAAATAACAATCATTATAGATAATATGCAAATTACGTATGTACTATATTATAGTTTAAGCGACATTATAGTAACTATAATGTCGCTTAAAGACTTCAATCAACCGTATAATTCGTAGTTAAAGAAAAAATATGTTATACATAATAAAAAATTAACCTATGTTTATTAATTGAGGATTGATACATTGCCCACTCTCCCCTTATTTTAACATTTACTAAATAAAAAAGTAACAAAATTAAAAATTTTGTTTTAAGGATGAGGTTATTTTATTTTAATGACATGATCTTACGTCATGAATCCCTACAAATATGAAAGTTTGTTACTCTATCATGTAAAAACTACTGAATGGATTTTGATAAAACTTTACAGTTTTATAGTTTATACATCAGAATAACAGCCTTTTTATTACGATTTGTGACGAACTGAATATAGAACCTATTTTTGGTTGGAACTAAATGCAGCAGCGCAAGGTCAAAGTCAGTTGAATTTATAAATGATTTTCACTTAGATACAAACTGTCTTTTACATTATCATTTATCTCAGAAAATAATTACGTTTATTTATTTATTTAACAAGTAAAAAGTTACATTAGATATCTTTAATTAAATACCACAAGGGTTTGAACTAAAGCTAACGAGTTTACAATAAATTCAAAATAATTTAACCAATTTTATTATTCTTGGTACTACTACTACTTTGCCTGGCCCATTCCCATTTTATTTGGGGTCGGCCCAATACAATTTTATTATTCTTGGTATTTTAAAAAAATAATAAAGATGATTATTGATAATATTAATGTTGATACAGTTACTGTAACATAATGTAAATGTAAAAAGTGCGAGTAAGTTTCAGAGAAAGATAAAGATTGCTAATTAAAAGATGCCCGATCTTAATCACCAATTTATCATTAAGTTTGACCACAGCTGACTTTAAGTAGTAACAATACAGACTAATTAATGATAAGTAGGTACTACTTACATTGTGTAAGAGGTAAGAAAGGTAAACAGGAACATTTCGCTTCATAATACATCCATTTTGTAAAAGAAAATAATAATAATGCAATCACTACCTTGAAGAGATTAATAATTATTAATAATAACATCTGTATTTGTGTTATGTCGTCAACAAAATATTCCAGAATCCAAATCTCTCAGTGGGACTGGGAAAGGCAAATAAAGGGGATGGATTGTAAAAACAGGGCTTGTGTGCCCTCTTATTGGGGTTTTGGGAGTCTGTAGGGGGATAGAAAAACGGGCATGCATTTGAGATGCTGAATAAACATGAAAAAGTGAGGGTTTTCGCGTAAGAAAAATCCGCCAGATGGCAATACGCGAGGTCCAAATGCTGCATGATTGGTTATTTTTGACATGACATTGACAGATATATGTCAAAATCCAACAATCACGCAGCAGTCAGAGCCCACATCCACGTTCCGCTATATAGCGGATCTTTCATACGCGTAAAATCCTCATTGTAACCAAATAATTATGTGGTACTACTGATTGAACTATTCCCACCTCTCGTTTTCACCGCTGCAATTCCTGTGTAGCCAGGATCTACAGCTTGACCGCCAATTCAATAGAGTAAAAACTCAATCAGTAAAGGCCAACTGGTCCAGAGGGAAAATCATGACACCCGCAACGAAATTATTTAATCAGAAGAACGTCATTCTGTTAATACAAATTAACAGAACAAGTATTTTTTACTTTTAGCATTATAAGAGACCCTTTTAATTCCTACTATCCTACTAATATTATAAATGCGAAAGTTTGTATAGATGTCTGGATGTTTGTTACTCTTTCACACAAAAACTACTGGATTTTGATGAAACTTTACAGTATTATTGTTTATAACCCAGAATAACAACGATCTGTGACAAATTAAATTTCACGCGGGTGAAGCCGCGGGCAAAAGCTAGTTGTGACATAAAGCCCGACTCTCCTCTCTCTCCTAGTTTTTCTATTTTCTGTCTGAGGATGTTGTAAACTTTAAGCTATTATTAATCCATAATCAATTAATCACGAAGAGTTTTGCGGAATTAATAGATTAATATTTTGTCATGAAACTTTGACTAACGTAAATTATACTTATCATTTCGATAATTAATGACTTAAAAAGTCAAAGTCCAAAATTCTTACAAAAACTCGTTAAAAGCCTGTTATAGAAGAAACCCATAAACATAGGTTTTATTTAAATTAATTTTATAGTAAACTGTAGGTCAAGGTACAAACTATGCCAATACGTGCTTTTTTGCTACAACAATGTTTTAAAAGGTATATAATTATGATGTCGACTATACTTTGATGATACAGTTTAATATTACTGTACTTTGACCATAAAATTAAACAGGTATTCAATTTTAATACGATGGTGCCAAACGGCACCATTGGCCGATGACTGGTGCAAACTTTCAAAATTTCTTATGTGCCGTATGGAGACAAAGGGTTAATTAGGTACAAAGCTTACGGGGCTATTCTCACCTCTCGTTCCCACCGCTGCAACTCCTGTGTAGCCAGGATCTACAGCTTGACCGCCAATACAAACCCAACCAGTGAAGTTCAAGTTTGTCCCGGAGGAAAGTTAGTTCGTTGGACCCGCGTTCGTTGGTCAACGACATTAGGTACAAAGTTTGCGTTTATGTAATAAAAATAAAATAAAACACACTGTATAATCTAGTGCCTCCTCCTTTTTTTGAAGTCGGTTAATAAAAACTGTACGGAACCACCCGCTAATATTACAGTCAAACTTGACAGTTATAAACTTATAACTCATCCGCTCACAAGGACTGATTGTCCTAAACACAAGGGCTACATTCATAAGTACAGTCTAACCCGAAATATGCACTATGTATGCGACTTTCAACCTTACATTGTTGAGCTTAAGGAAAAGTTTCAAGTAGGGTTAAAAAAGGAAATCTCTTTATTTGTTCTGAGTATTCTGATTTTGATAAGTCTCTT